TGGGACATTCCATTGTCTGAGCGCTCTCCAGAACATGTACCGTGGTAATGGTAAGAAGTGCGGGCGGTTCACAAGTCATCCGAGAATTCATTAGAACGAGAGAGGATGGCATGAAATGGGAAGAGAAGTTCTGACAAAAGTCGATAAGGGATAAGGATAAGATACAACACAACCTGCGATATAACAGAACCGCACTCCGAGAGAGGTTCTATAAGCCACCGCCTACCTTAAAAAGCTTCCAGAAATGCAAAAAATCACCTGAAAACCACCGCCAAGACCATTTTCACGTGGAAGATCTGGTCCACGCCGTTCTGCCTCGTTCGGTTGTCCATCTCCAGTTTCACGTTTGGATATCTGAAAACAATTAATTTATAAAGCGATCTCAACTAGCAACCGTTGGTAATTCAGATTTCTAAGAGAGTCAGAACTGTAATAAAATAAAGATAATCCTCACGCTAGTCATAAAATTAGGTGAAACTTTATTCAAAGTTGTGGTAAGTCCTGGAAAAGACTGACCGTAAAGAGCCGGGTGCGCTACGCACTTGTGGTTTTCCAAGAAGGGGCTCCTAGGACCCGGCAGGCGAAGCCCACCTCATGAATCCGTCCTGGTCCTCAGTAAAGGGGCATTAGACTTCTTCGCTGCATTTTCTGAGAGCTAGAGTCGATTTTTCCACTGTAATTTGTTGCTGTCGGTGGATGTGGCAAGGGCTTGGGGAGCGTAGCAGGTCTCCCGATTAGGTCATCCAACCACATTGACTTTTCGGTCGCTCGTCCAGATCCTTAGAGTGTGTCGCACTCGTTAAATCAAATGTTGAATTAAGTTCACTTGAAATTAAGCAAATTCGCTGGCCTGGAATGATCTGGCCAGTCATTTTCGTGCCAAGCGGATGTGGCAATCACGTTCAGGGAATCAAATAGAAATTGGGTGGCCCAGGATATCCGAGTTACGGAAACACGCAGAAACGCGCGCGACAACATTACTTAGCCAGTTGACTCAGCTTACTGTAGTACCTTCACATCAGATCTATTAGAGCCTAGTGAACGACGTGCGTGCAGCGCTCCTTCAAGGCGATTTCGCCGTGCGCTCAACTGACTCGGATCTAATTATCACCTCCTCCCAAAAATTCGTATCGATGAATCAGTAAGTTCGAAAAAGGTGTAAATAAAAAAGCAACCCGTCAGCATGAGCAAAAATTGAGGGATCTGTTGAAAAAATCGTACCCGATTTGCTTCAGCTCGCACTTTATCAAGAAAAGTCATCTCTTCGTTCAACCGTCCACCTTCTGAAACACAGAAGTTTACACTGAGTCATATTTTTGGAAAAATTCAGCAGTGTAACGACTTATGTCATAAATCAATTTAATTATAAAATAATATGTAATTATGTTGGAAGTGGTGTAGTTACAAGACGAACGCTTACCACTCCCGTGGTCCTGGGTTCCGATCCCGGCTCCCGCCTGACCCACCCAAGCCTTCTACCCCCCCAAAGGGATTGATCAACGGCGAGGTATTCATCCTTCAATTAATCATGAGAATGTTGAGCTATGGGCGAACCTCTCGACCCTAAAGAGGACTCTAACCCGGTTCTCAGGCATACCGGGCGAGCGCGCTGTCCATTACGCTATCGGGGCCGCTCTTACCATAACAATAATTCAAGTATAATTTAATGAGTAACCATACAACTTAGCAAACTAAAATATTAAGATTATGTGTAGAAATAAATTTTTATGGCAATAAAACTCACGTTGAACCCAGAGCTTAACTATATCAGTCTCTATAACAACATCTTTCAGGCCGTAACAACACATGGTATACAAAACTATTCTGAAATAAATTTTTCTAATGACGTTAAACTACAATAATAGACGAAATTCCGAAAATAAAAGCAGGAAAAATACGTAAAACTTTCGTATAATGAAATAATTAACCCACGAAACAAGAACAGTTGACCAGGCCCACTTCTGAACGAAGCACCCGATTTGAAAAAGATAATATTGGAAGAAACTTCTCGCATACAGAGCAATTCGATTACCTCGTGCAGCTCCCTGAAATCGATTATCGATTGAAATTGATTTCCGAGGGACAGAAGGACGAGAAGCGATTACCCTTTTGATTTGTTGTAGAGACATGTCGGCATCGCACCATGTTGGCGCATGGCTGAACTTTTGTTTCCAGGCTTCTGTGAAATCCGCAGAGTCGAAATTTCCGATTAACTTCCGTTCGACAAACTAAAGCGAAGAAAATTAGGAGTCTTAAAAAACTTTCGGCGCAGTTCGGCTCAGTGAGGGCAAAGGCCACCTTGTTGGGGCCTGTGGGTACCTGGGACAATGAACTCACTTCAACGATTTCGCAGAAATGGAGTAGTTTGCAGGCCGCAATAAAGTGAAAACTGTTGCTTAGCAGGGAGGGAGTGGCTAAAGTGCAGAATGCCCTCTCCAAGCCGAACAGCGCCACTTTTCCTCTCTTCATTCTTACTGATCACTTTCACTTCATTTCCCAGCAACTTTCTCTGAGCCCACAGTAATACTGGAACTTTTTTCGGACTGCTCTGATGCATGGCTTATCCAGTCAATTACGAGTTGCTCAATGTCTTTCTTTGAACTTAATCACAGCTGATCACGAATTGTGCTCGAATAACTCTCTTTTTTCGTTTTACCTATCAAAATACCATTTGGAGGGCTAATTTTAAACATCAGACCAAAGGGTCTACAGAATTTCCCCAGTGAATTATTGTTACCGTATCAAATAGAAACACTCTGAAAACCTTGTGAGCGATTGACAACCGGTTGTCCTGAATTTCGAGGGCGCTATAGGGTGTTCTTCGAAGCCATTCAACACTCTCAGGCGGCATCCGAAATTGTGCCGGCGGACTAAATAACAGTGCACGGAATCATTTCTGAGTAATAAAATTTTGCTCGCGATCAATACCATTATCGGTCGTTGAAAGCAGAGAATTCTATTTCAA